TATGGAGATTGGCTGCTAACCTGAACTAAGCCAACAGAGTAGATTCAAGATTGGCTGACTCTTGGTTGACAATCTACTAAGCCAACAGAGTAGACTAAGATTCTGAATCCCCTTATAGAATATTCTCTGGGTATGTTGCATATCACACAACACAACTGCAAGCTTACTTGTTACCTATTTGGGGGAAGGGAGATTCAGCCTACACAGAAGTACTCTTAATTTTCAGGTCAAGAGACAACATCAACCCAGCAGAATGTCCTCCCATAAGCGTTGGTATATTTGTATTTCAATTTTGCTACTCCCTTTCTGGTTTTAGTACAGAGAGTTCATTTTAACATACCACTTTTTTCCAGATAAGTATAATTTTTTTAACCATCTTGGAACCTAAGGAAGATTGTCTCCCCTGACCTCTTGAGCCTGACTTTTTATTACCTGGCCCCACGTGTTTGTTAATTTGTATGTTATGTTGTTCTTGCATTGCTATAAAGAAATACCTGAGGTTGGGTAATTTATAAGAAAAGAGGTTCAATTGGCTCACCGTTCTGCAGGCTGTACAGGAAGTGTAGCACTGGATTGTGCTTCTGGTAAGGCCTCAGGAAGGTTACAATCACGGCGGAAGGCAAAGCAGGAGAAGGTATCTCACTAGGCAGGAACAAGAGAGTGGTGGGGGAAGGTACTACACACTTTTAAACAACCAGATCTCTCAAGAAATAGTCACTACTGCGAAGTCGGCCCCAAGCCATGAGGGACCCACTCCATAACCCAAACACCTCACACCAGTCCCACCTCCAAAACTGGGGATTACATTTCAACATGAGATGTGAGAGAACAAATATCCAAATTATATCAAATTGGGAAGTTACTGTTGTTGTTTAGAGGTTTTTTCCTCTTATCCTAAGTAAAGGTCATCCCCTCCAAAAGTTTATGTTACTGAAAAGGCTACCAGCCTTTCAGCTGAAAATTATGACAAAAGGAACAATATATTTACAGCATTTGGACCAAACTCTTGACAAATAATTTAAATATAATTGGTAGAGTCAAAAAAAAAAAAAAGCCTTTCCAAAATTTTTTTCAAAATCTTATTGTGACTACATATAACAGAGAATCCTTAATGATTTTAACTATATTTTATTTATACATATTTTATTTGTACATTTTACATATTTCCATAATTAATGTCGTTTTAGACATTTAAATTTATAAATGTTTTCCTATCTACAATTATTTTACCTATTTTTATTATTTTATACATATTTAACTATATTTTGTGTTATACTCTTTTTTAAGACAAATAGGCTCAAATATAGTAAACTTAATAGCAACAACTACCTATTTAGATTCAGGCTCTTTCAAATACGAAACTATTCCTGTGTAATATGGCAAATGTATTGGAACTTATCACTTCCCTTAACACCGGAGTAGCATTTCAAGAATGATGATCTAGGCATAGGAAAATAACTTCAAAACTGTCATTTTTATGTGATGAAAAGGTAGGTTACAAGTTTTAAAAAATGTTTAAAAACCTGCCATCTCCAGTTATGGGAAAATCATGACCTGTCGCCTAATTTGGGCAGTAATGCTTCCTAATACTGCCTCTCCCTGTGGAGGTGAGATTAGCCAGAATTCTCCTCCAACCTACACTGCTAGAGCCATTGGGAGAGGGGAGAGGAAGCACAAAGAAATATTGGAACTTGAGTGGAGAGCTCAGGAGAATTTGTTTTGGCCCACAGGAAAATAGCTATAGGGTGAGAGTGACACAGGCACATGCTATTTCAGAACAGGTGGTCAAGTGGATTTTGTAATTATTAAACATATCTAAAGAAATATAGTTCCATTATTTTCAGGTACACACTACCAGCAGGTAAGGTGAGGAAATATAATTTAGACAGTTTCTCAAGGGAATTCCCTTAAAGAAATTCTGAGTGACTTGTAATTAAATCAATTTGAGGATAAATGGGCATTTCTGAAGTGCTTGAAGGTATTTAAACGATTTTGTTCTCCTCTGAATATAAGCAACTGCCTATAATGTGGTTTATAGCATGACTTACTTTATCGCTTTCCAGAAGTGGCTTCAATGTGACCTAATGACCACAGCAGGACGCTAACCATGAGCTTCATTTGAGCTTCAAATTGCGCTGACATCAAGGCACTTTCTCCCAGAGTTCCTTTAAAACCTTGAGGTCTACATTTTTCTTGGCTATGGCTCAAAACAGAAGCAACTCTTATCACCTGTGTCCTCCACCCACGTCCTGGTTTTGCTCCGTGCTTCCTCTCCCCTCCCTCAGGTTTCACCGCTTCCCTCCTTCCCAGAGATTTTCACTGAAACATGATAAACAAGCTCCCCTGCACCCTTCAGCTCCTCACAGAAAGCTCCTTCCCCTTCCCTGCCTCACTGCCCTGGTTAAAACCCGCCTCACCTAAGATGGCTGCTCCTTATTATTGACAGGCTTCAGGAGACAGCTCTAGCTCATTTTCTTACTCTGAGCCCAGGGGTTGGGAATTGGAGTCGGCATTTAAAAAAAAAAAAAAAGTCATACCTGCCACTTCCAGACCGCTGGGTTTTGTTGTATTGCACAAAAATCCCCATTCCGTTTAAGGCACTGCCATTTAGCTATGTGACTTTTTTTTTTTTTTTTTTTTTTTTTTTTTTTTGAGACGGAGCCTCTCTCTGTCGCCCAGGCTGGAGTGCAGTGGCGCTATCTTGGCTCACTGCAACCTCCGCCTCCCGGGTTCAAGGAATTCTCCTGCCTCAGCCTCCCGAGTAGCTGGGATTACAGGCGCCCACTATCACGCCCGGCTACTATTTGTTTTTTGGTGTGTTTTTTTTAGTAGAGACGGGGTTTCGAGACCCTGACCTCAGGTGATTCGCCCGCCTCGGCGTCCGGAAGTGCTGGGATTACAGTCATGAGCCACTGCGCCTGGCCGGCTGTATGACTTCTTCCTCCACTCATCTCCGTCAACTCTGACCTCCAGTGACTCCACCTCATTCTGAACAGTTCATTGACCTGCTGGAATTTTTCCTCAACTGAGTTCCGCTGCCATCCTGTGAGACTTCATGCAGATGACCATTCAGGACCCTAACCTAATGGTTCATCACAGTTCCACTGATTGTAGCTTTTGTCATTCCATCTATCCCTTCCCCAGTCACACTGGGGCACTTGTCATTGCTCAGAATTGCTCCTATTTTGAAAATTCATTCTCTATATTCTCTAACCTTCTGGCTCTGCCTTTCTTTACTCCTGCTGTAGCAGTTCAGAAATCTCAGCAAGATTTCTCAGCCTCTAACACTTCTCCAATTTACCCGTCCTTAATGTGTTCATTGTCTTTCCTGCCTAAAGCCTGAAGACAGGTTCCATCACTACCCCCTTACCCTCCTTTGTATTCCTTATTACAATGATAACTATCAAAAGTCATATTGTTTTGTTTTTTTATGACTCTTCTACTAGAACATAACCTCCTCCCTAAGGGCAGGAACTCCAGTTCACTGCTGCAATCCCAGGTTTTAATAGAGTGAGCCTCTCATGAACCTCATACCCAGTCCAGATTCATTAAATATCTGTGGAAGGAGAAAAGAAAGGCTATAATTGTTTCTTCACTTCAGAGACTAAGAACCCCTTATTTAACCCAATAAGTTTTAATTTGAAACAATTTTTCAGAAATGTGTATAATGATTCAGTAAATCTAAAAATATATTATTCAACATGAGAGGGTTGACTTAATACTGGTACATCTATGTAAGAAGATACCAAGCAGTTAATGAAAAGATGCTCTAGAAGAATATCTAACAGTGTGAGAAAAGTTTGCAATATATCATTAAGAATGAAAAGCAAGTTGCAGTGCAGTATATACAGTACAATCTCATGTTGATAAAATATATAGGCATAAAAAAGACTGGAAAGAAAATATGTGATTTCTGAGTTTGGCAATAAGTTTTTAGATATAATACCAAAATTATAATCTATAAAAGAAAAATAATTGTTGGACTGTATTAAAATTTAAAAATTCTGCTCTGTCAGAGATAGTTATGAGAATCAAAGCATAAGCCACAAACAGTAAGAAAATATTTGCAAAACATATCTGATAAAGGACTTGTGTCTAAAATATGCAAAGATGTCTTATAACTCAACGATAAGAAAACAACTCACCAAAACATGGGCAAAAGATTTCAACAGATGCCTCACCAAACAAAATATACAAATGGCAAAAAAAGCATATGTAAAGATGTTCAACATTAGCTGTCATGAACTGCAAATTGAAATAACAATGAATGGCCAGGTGTGATGGCTCACGCCTGTAATCCCAGCACTTTGGGAGGCCAAGGTGGGCAGATCACTTGAGGTCAGGAGTTCAAGACCAGCCTGACTAACATGGTGAAACCCTGTCTCTACCAAAAAATACAAAAATTAGCCAGACATAGTGACACGAACCTGTAGTTCCTCTGGAGGCTGAGGCATGGGAATCACTTGAACCTGGGAGGTGGAGATTGCAGTAAACTGAGATTGTACCATTGCACTCCAACCTGGGCAACAGAGTGAGAACCTGTCTCAAAAAAAAGAAAGAATGAACGAAATACAAATACAACTATACAGTTGTTAGAATGGCCAACATCCAAAAGGCTAATCACGTTAATTGCTGTTGAGGTTGTGGAGCAGCAAAAACTCTCATTCATTGCTGATGGGAATACAAAAAGGGATGATCATTTAGAAGCAGAAAGGAGAGGAAGCTAGAATGATAACTATGGTACTGAATCAGGGTTTGGCAGTTTCTAATTTTTTTAATTTTAATTATTTTTAAGAGACAGGCTGGAGTGGAGTGGCATGACCAGTCGTAGTTTACTGTAGCCTCAAGCTCCTGTGCTCAAGCAGTTCTCCCATCTCAGACTCTTGAGTAGCGGGGAACACAGGTGTGCACATCACCATGCTTGGTTAATTTTTAAATTTTTTGTAGAGATGAGGTCTCTCTTTGTTGCCCAGGCTGGTCTGGAACTCTTGGCTTCAAGTGATCCTCCTACCTCAACCTTCCAAAGTGCTGGGATTACAGGTATGAGGCATCACATCTGGCCAAGTTTGGCAGTTTCTTACGAGGCTAAACGTAGTCATTCCATATAATCCAGCAATTGCACTCCAAGGTACATACCCAAAAGATTTAAAAACTTATATTCACACAAAAACCTACATATGAATGTTTCTAGCAAGTTTAAATTGAAAATTGAAAGCAACCAATTTGTCCTTCAACAAATGAATGAATAAACAGTAGTACAATTATTCAATGATAAAATGTAGAGTATTATTCAGTGACAAAAAGAAGTGAGCTATCAAGCCATAATAAGACATGGATAAATCTTAAACACATATTGCTAAGTGAAAAAAGTAAGTCTGAACAGGCTACATACTGTTTGATGCCAATTATATGACATTCTGAAAAAGGCAAAACAGTTTTAGAATAGTTAACAGGGTTTCAAGGAGAGGAATGGGGGTTGAAAAGGTGAAGCACAGTATTTTTAAGGCAGTGAAACTATTCTGTATGATGCTGTAATGGCGGGTACATCTCTTTATATATTTGACAAAATCCATGGAACTTTACAACACAAAGAGTGAACCTCAATGGGTGAAAAATTTTAAAAAGGCATTTAGGAGTTCAGGGGATCTTAGCATGTGATCCTGGAATGCAGAATGTGACAAAAGAATTTAACTTACTACAAATGTATGAAACAATTTCAGCAAAATGGGTAGGGGAGAAAAGGTACTAATAAGTAAGTTCAGAAGTGAGTGAATACAGGAAGACTAAAGGCAAAATTAATTGCATATAACTACTGTACTCCAGCTAATAAAGTTGCTTCCATGGGAATACAGGTTAACAATTCTGATTCTGCTATACATGTATACTGGGATTAAAGCATATGTAAATGGATGGCAGATGGTAGGAGCCAGGTTTTTCACTGCTGGAGTGGGAGGTTTTTGACAAGCAAAAAGAGGAAGCTAGAATGATCACTATGGTAATGAATTAGAGTTGGAGAAATCAGTATGAACTCATGTTTTAGCTTAAAATAAGTATAGATGGTTACATATAGAAATATATATATATACACACACACACACAAGTTGATATATACATATATATGTTTTCTTGCTCTCTTCTGCTTAAAAGACCTAGAAGTAATGGCACCCCCATATTAATAAACACCCCTAGTGCCCAGATCTTGCTTTCTAATGTCATTCTTTCATTAAAAGACAAAAGCTCATTAAAGAAATGGCCAATTCTAGGCCTGGAGTCATGAATATGACCCACTGAAGATGAGTAAATGCAATACCAGAAAGTAAAAAATTACTCCAAAAAAATCCCCCAAAACAAACCCACATTATAGTGGTATTTCAAAGGGTAAGCATACAACAGCCAATAGAAAGAGCTCTCAATGGCAAAAGTTGGGACAATTTGAGCAAGAAAACAAGTAAAATAGTATTAGATTACAACCCAAGGTATAAAATCTATACCCATGAGTCCATACTGATGTAAATAAATAACTAAATAAATAAATAAATAAATAAGTAAATAAATGGAGGAGACAAATCTCCCGTGCAAAAGAATCTCAAATAATGTATACAGATACTTCATCCTCAAGGTGGTAGAGCATAACTCCCCATTCTGTAAGTTTGAGCTGTACATACTGACTTTCTTCCAAAGAGTACAGTATAGGGTGGGATAGGAGTAACTTCACAGTGAAGAAATCTGACAAACACTACCTCATCCAGGTGATCAAGGTTAACTTAAACAGTAATAAGTCATGTGTATAGTATGTTGTCCTTGATACAACGTGATCAGCATTGCATTTTACCTTTGTGACTTTGTGGTCTTCCTTCCAAAAACACATAACCTCAGTCTAATTATGACAAAAATATCAGACAAATCCCAATTAAAAGACATTCTACAAAATTCCTGACCAGTACTCCTCAGAACTATCAAGGTCATCAAAAACAAGCCAAGTATTAGAAACTTTCACAGTCAAGAATGGCCTTAGGAGGCATGACAGCTAAAGGTAATGTGGCATCCTGATGGGATTGTGGAACACAGAAAGGACATCAGGTAAAAACTAAAGACATATGAATAAAATGTTAGTTATTAATTATGTATTAATATCAATTCATTAATTGTAACATATATGCCATACTAACATAAGATGTTAAAATAGGAAAAACTGGGTATAAGGTATATGGAAATCTTTATCCTATATTTGCAACCTTTTTGTAAAACTAGAAAGATACGCCTCAAAATCCTATTAGTAGTTGTGTTTTAGTGGCAGGATTACAAATAGTTTTTCCTTTTTACTTATCTATATCTTTAAAATAATATCTCTGAATTTTGATTTTTAGCTCTTGAAGTTTGGTATTAACCTAACAGTCCCAGTATTTGGTCTCTGGCCTCGTCAGATAGGTGGCATTTTGGCCCTTGTCAAGCAAATGACACCTCTTACCACCTCTAGGGGAGGAGTCCACTGCAGGGAGGACAGCAAAGAGCATGACAATGCCTACCACCAGGAGCAGCAGTCCCAGGATGTCACCTCACTGCAAGTCACCAAGAAAGCATCACCAAGAAAGACAGGATTCACACAGGTGCTGAATGGAACAACGCTCTCCTCTCATAGAGAAGAAGCAGAGCAAGTTCGGCTTCAAACAGGTGCCATGAACAGCAGGTCTTGTCATACAGCCAACATAGGAAGATGGTCTGCATGGGCCCCTCTTGTGCTATAGGTGAAGGACTCTATTTCTTCCTCTGCAAGAAACAGAAATAGCAGTGTGATTGACCAGGTGTCATAGGATGCACACACTTTACACAGAAGAAAAAGTATACATTGAACCTGGAGCAGAAAATGATACTCTGCCCAGCACAGGCTGTGAGAGCTGAGACGATATGCCCAGCACAGGCTGTGAGGGATCCTTATCTCCATGTAGGAAAATGTTTCAGCACTCTTTTATGCAGCCATGCAAGGGTCAGTATCCTGTGCATGATTAATTTTTCCAACAGCCTTCATTCATAGGAATATACATAGACATTGTAATCTCCTTTTGAAAAAGGAAGTAAAGGAAATATAATTATCTCATAGTGGGTGATAGAAGTAAGTCATTATAAATATTAGTGGAATACACTAACCATTAGAAGTAAAGGAAACATTACTTTTGCAATTTAAGCTTTAAAAATCATTCCAGAAAGTTAGCTACAAAACTCATAATACCTAGTAGAAATAAAATCTCAAGCTCTCCAGAAAAATGTTACAGAAGTCGGAGAGATCAACAGGGCAGAATTTCTTTCACAGAGAATGAAAATATCTCTGAGGGCATATGAGAAGACATCAGCTCTACCCTTGGCTAATACCTGAATCCTTCTGAAACTTGCCTTCCACATCTTCCTGAAGTGTCAAACTTCAGTGACAGCAAGTGTATTTGCTACTAAGGTGTCTGGTTTATTTTCAGATAGATTCCCAAATAAAGTTATGCAAATTAAGACTAAAATACTCCATGATAATTTGCATTTTTGTAAACAAATGGTTAATCAATAATAACTGTGAATTGAGGAGATGAATATTACCTATAAATGACGGGTGCCTTTTTGTTACTTAAAAAGGCGGTATAGAGTATAGAAGTTACAGCATAAGTTCGTGCTCAATGTTGGGCAATTATTTCACCTCTCGGAGCCTCATTTTCTGCTCTTTTAAAATGGAGATATTTATAGTCTGTACCTCATAGAGTCATTGTAGGGGTTAACTGAATTAATACATGTCAAGTGCTTAGGATGCTATCTGACACACAGCAAGTTCTATATAAAAGTTAGCTGTTGGCTGCGTATGGTGGCTCATGTCTATAATCTCAGCATTTTGGGAGGGTGAGGTGGGTGAATCACTTGAGGCCAGGGGTTGGAGACCAGTCTGGCCAACATGGTAAAACCCCATCTCTACTAAAAACACAAAAATTAGTTGGATGTCATTGTGCATGCCTGTAATTCCAGCTACCCTGGAAGCTGAGGGAGGAGAATTGCTTGAACCCGGGAGGCAGAGGCTGCAGTGAGCAGAGATGATGCCACTGCCCTCCAGCCTGGGTGACAGAGCGAGACCCTCTTTTGAAAAAAAGTTATCTGTTATATTAAGTAAAGGCAGTCAGTGGTTTTTAGCCATCTCTTTTTTACTCTGTTTCACATTCCACTCAGATCTAACAGTTTTGATTTGTATTCCCCTAATGAGTAATTCATTGTGCTATATTGGACATCACATTGACCCCCTTCACCCCTGACAGCTTCTCACTCCTTCATTGCACAGCCATTCTCTGAGTTACCCAGGAGCAAAGCCTATTGATTCTTCCCTTTCTCACTTCTCTTGCAATTGGAGTTGCTACATTCTGAAGTCTAACTTTGGTTATGGTTCTTGCATTTGTCCCCATTGGCATCACTAACACTGAGCTTAAGCCCTTGTCAATTAATAATCTATTAACTTGGCTATTCTGCTTTCTTCATCCACCCCAATTCGTTTATACCCTGATGCCGGGTTAAATTTTATTTTTATTTTAATAATAGCTTTGTTGAGATATTCACATTCCACAAGGCTAAAACTTTTGAAGCATATCATGCAATGGTTTTTAATATTCACAGACTTGTGCAACCTTCACCATTACCTACTTACAGAATATTTTCATGACTCTAAAAAGAAAGCTCAGACACATAAGCAGTCACTCCTCATTCTCCCTGTCCCCCAACCAGACAATCCCTAATCTACTTTCTATTTCTATGAAGTTGCCTAATCTGGATATTTCATACAAATGAAATCATATAATATGTAACCTTTGTGTCTGTTTTTTTTTTTTTTCAGTTAGCATAAAGTTTTTAAGGTTCATGGCATATATCAATACTTCATTCTTTTTTGTCACCAAATGCTATTCCATTATATGAATATAATCACATAGCATTTATCCATTCATCAATCGATGGACATTTGGGTTGTTTCCATATTTTGTTATTGTCAACAATATTGCTATGAGCATTTGTGTACAAGTTTTTGAATGAACATCCAATTTTCATAGGTATATATCTAGGATTAGAATTGATGGATTGTATGGTAACTGTTATGTCGAGCTTTTTGAGGCACTTCCACTGTTTTTGAAAGCAGCGTCATTATTTTACATTCCCACCAGAATATATGAGGGTTCTAGCTTCTCTATCCTCATCAACACTTGTTATTATCCATCTTTTTATTATAGCCATCCTAGTGGATATGAAGTGTTATCTAACAGTTTTGATTTGTATTTCCCTAATGAGTAATTCATTGTGCTATATTGGATGTTATTTTTTGTATATATTTTTGTAGAAATATCTATTCAAATCCTTTCCCATTTTTAAATGGAGCTATTTATTCTTTCATTGTTGAATTGTGATAGTTCATTATATATTCTTGGTTCTAAAGACTTTCTTATTGAATATATGATTTGCAAGACTATTCTCCCATTCTGTGGAGGCTGTCCTTTTACTTTCTTGATATTGTCCTTTAAAGCAGTAAAGTTTTAATTTTGATACATCACCATTTATCTAAATTTTCTTTTGTTGCTTGTGCTTTTGCTGTTATATCTATGAAATTATTGCTTATGCAAGGTTAAGAGGACTTGCTCCTTTGTTTTATTCTGAGATTTTTTTTTAAAGCTTTACCTCTTACATTTGGTCTATGATCAATTTTGAGTTAATTTTTGTGTGTGGTGTGAGGTAAGGGTCTAGCTTCATTCTTTTGCATGTGAATATTCAGTTGTCCCAGTACTATTTGTTGAAAATACTATTCTTCAATGGATCGGTTCCGCAAAAGGATATAACAATTTAAAATTGCACCCCACGATGCACTCAACACTCGAGCACCCCAGATATACAGCAAATATTATTAGATGTAAAGGGAGAAATAGACTCCAATACAATAATAGTTGGAGACCTCAACACCCCATTCTAAGCATTAGATCATCTAGACAGAAAATAACAATAAACCAGGGACTCACACTACACTTTAGACCAAATGGACCCGATAGAAATATACAGAACATTTAATCTGATAGCTTCAGAATATACATTCTTCTCCCCAGTACATGGAACATTCTCCAGAATAAACCATATTTTAGGCCACAAAAAAGTCTCAAAATTTTTTTTAAATATAAAATCATATTGAGTATTTTCTCAGACCAAAATGGAATAAAACTAGAAATCAATAACAAGAAGAAGATGGGAAACTATAAATACATAGAAATTAAACAACATGCTCCTGAATGATCATTGGGTCAATGAAGAAATTAAGAAGAAAATTTAAAAAAAATTCTTGAAACAAATGAAAATGGAAACACAGCATATTAAAACTTATGGGATACATCAAAAGCTGTGTTGAGAGAAGTTTATAGCAATAAACACCTACATCAATAAAGTTCAAAGATGAACATAATAAGACCTTTTCTTAAAAAAATTTTTTTTGTTTCAATTTTTAAAAAAATACTTTAGATCAAGACAGCTGAATAAAAACCTTCATCAGTTATCCTCCCTTCAGGAACACTAAATTGAACTATTCACATGAAAAGCACTTTCGTAGGAATCAAAATTTACCTTGGTGTCAGCTCAGCCACAGTGGGGTAGAGCACCAACTGGGCTGTTGGGGTCCCCAATTCCAGGCCTTGGCTCTTACACAGTATTTCTGGACTTGCCATGGGCCAGAGGGAAGCCCACTGCTCTGAAAGGACAGACCCAGGCCTCGCAGCAATCACCACAAGCCGACTAAAAACCTCTTGAGCCTTGAATGAACGTCAGTGGTTGCCAGACAACTCTGGCCATGTGACTAGGGTGGTGGTAGCCTTTGGGAGAGATTCCTCTACTTGTAAAATGGGGAGGAAAGAAGGAAAGGATTTTGTCTTGTGACTTGGGGGCTAGCTCAGAAGCAGTAGAATGGAGCACCAGGTAGATTCCTAAGGTTTCCCTCTCAAGTCCCTGGCTCCCAGATGGCATCTGTGAACCTACCTGGGAACTATGGGAACTTGCCACTCTGAAAGCAAGGACACAAGCCTGGCTGGTTCACCACTTGCTGATTGTAGAGCCCTAGGGCCTTGAGCTTTCACAGGAAGTAGCCAGGCACTGGTTACTGTGGGCCTTGAGGGAGACCCAGTGCTGTGCTGGATTCTGTGCTTCTGTTCTGTGTAACTCCTCCCCCAGATCCAGACAGCTCAGCATAAACAGAGGGACTCTGTTTGAGAGAAATAAAGGGAAAAGAATAAGAGTCTCTGCCTGGTAATCTGGGGAATTCTTCCAGATCTTATCCAAGACCACCAAGGTAGTACCTTGGTACAAGTCTGCAAGAGCCACAGTGATACTGAGCTTGGAGTATCTCATAATGCAGCTATAGCTGCAGTGACCAAAAACTTATATAACACCCAAGTCCCTTCAGTGCCTGGAAAGCCTTCCCAAAAAGAATGGATACAAACAAGTTCAGACTGTGAAGACTACAATAAATACCTAACTCTTCAATGCCCAGACACCAACAAACATCCACAAGCATCAAGACTATCAAGACCACGACTTCACCAAACAAACTAAAAAAGGCACCAGAGACCAATACTGGAGAAACAAACATATGTGACCTTTCAGAGAATCCAGAACAGCCATATGGAGAAAATGCAATGAAATTCAATGTAACACACAGAAGAAATGCATAATCCCATCAGATAGATTTAACCAAGAGAATGAAATAATTACAAAGAATCAAACAGAAATTCTAGAGCTGAAAAAATGCAATCGACATAATGAAGAATGCATCAGAGTCTCTTAATAGCAGAATTGATCAAGCAGAAGAAAGAATTAGTGAGCTTGAAGACAGGCTATTTGAAAATACACAGAGGAGACCAAAGAAAAAAGAATTATGAAAGAATGAAGCATGCATATGAGATCCTAGAAAATAGCCTCAAAAAGGCAAACCTAAGAGTTATTAGCCCTAAAGAGGAGGGGGTAGTAGGATGTTTATTCACTGGGATAGTAAGAGAAAACTTCATAAATCTAGAGAAAGATATCAATATCCTAGTACAAGAAGTTTATCAAACACCAAGCAGATTTAACCCAAATAAGACTACCTCAAGACATTTAATAATTAAACTCCAAAAGGTCAAGGATAAAGAAAGGAGCCTAAAAGCACCAAGAGAAAAGTAACAAATAACATACAATGGATCTCCAATACATCTATCAACAGACTTCTCAGTGGAAACCTTACAGTCCAGGAGAGAGTGGCATGACATATTTAAAGTGCTGAAGAAAAACAACTTTTATCTTAGAATTGTATATCCAGCAAAAATATCCTTCAAACATAAAGCAGAAGCAAAGACTTTCCCAGACAAATAAAAGCTGAGGGATTTCATCAGCATCAGACCTGTCCTACAAGAAATGTTAAAGGGCATTTTTCAATCTGAAAGAAAAGGCTATTGGTGAGTGATAAGAAATCATCTGAAGGTCTAATACTCACTGGTAATAGTAACTCACAGAAAACAACAGAATATTATAATGCCATAATTGTGGTGTGTAAACTACTCATATTTTGACTAGGAACACTAACAGATAAACTGGTCAAAAATAACTACAACAAATTTCAAGACATATAAGTACAAATAAAATATAAATATAAACAACAGAAAGTTAAAAACAGAAGGATGAATTAAAATGCAGAATTTTTATTAGTCTGCTATATGCTTGTTCATGTATGCAATCAATGTTTAGTTGTCATCAGTTTATAATAATGAGTTATTTGTAAGCCTCATGGTAACTTCAAATAAAAAAATATACAACAGATACACACACAAAAAAATAAAAAGCAAGAAATTAAATCATATCACCAGAGAATATCACATTCACTAAAAAGAAGATGGAAAGGAAGAAAAGAAGGAAGAGAAGACCATAAAACAACCAAAAAACAAATTTTAAAATGGCAGGAGTAAGTCCTTATTTATCAATAATAACATTGAATGTAAATGAACTAAACTCTGAAATCAGAAGACACAAAGTGGCTGAATGGATTAAAAAAGAAAAGCAAGACCCAGTGATCTGCTGCCTACAAGAAATACACCTGACCTATTAAGACACAACTAGACTGAAAATAAAGAGATGGAAAAAGATAATCAATGCAAATGGAAGCCAAAACAAGAGCAGGAGTAGATATACTTACATTTGACAAAATAGATTTCAAGACAAAAACTATAGAAAGAGACATAAAAGGTTATTATAATATACAATGATGAAGAGGTCAATTCAGAAAGGGGATATAACAATTGTAAATATATACGTACCCACAGTGGAGTACCCAGATGCATAAGGCAATATTGTCAGAGTTAGAGAGATACACATCAATAAAATAATGGCTGGAGACTTCAACACCCCACTTCTAGCATTGAACAGATCATCCAGACAGCAAATCAACAAAAAAACATCAGACTTAATCCACACTATAAACCAAATAGTTTTAATAGATATTTACAGAATACTTTCTCCAACATCTGAAGAATATATTCTTCCCCTCAGCACATGGATCATTACCAAGGATAGACCACATGCTAGGTCACAAGAAAAAGTTTTTAAAAATTCAAAAAAATTGAAATTATATCAAGTATATTCTCTGACCACAATGGAATAAAACTAGCAATCAATAACACAAGGAACTTTGAAAACACGTGGAAATTAAATGGTATGCTCCTGATTGTGGGTCACAGAAGACCTTAAGAAGGAAACTGAAAAATTTTTTGAACCAAATGATAATGAAAACACAACATACCAAAGCCTATGGGATATAGCAAAAGCAGTACTAAGAGAAAAGTTTATAGCTATAAGCACCCACATCCAAAAAGTAAAAAAACTTCAAATAAACAACCTAACAATGCATCTTAAAGAACTACAAAAGCAAAAGCAAACCCAACCCAAAGTTTGTAGAAGAAAAGAAATAACAAAGATCAAAGCAGAAATAAATGAATTTGAAATAAAGAAAACAACACAAGGATCAAAAACTTAAAAGTTAACCTTTATTTTAAGGATAAACAAAATCAGGCCTGGCATGGTGGCTCATGCATGTAATTTTAGCACTTTAGGAGGCCAAGGTAGGAGGATCACTTGGGTCCAGGAGTTTGAAACCAGTCTGGGCAACACAGTGAGACCTCATCTCTACAAAAAGGCAAAGAATTAGCTGGTCGTGATCTCACGCAGTTGTTGTTTTAGCTATGCAGAAGGTTGAGGTTGAAGGATCACTTGAGCCCAGGAGGTGGAAGCTGTAAGTGAGCTATGATCATGCCACTGCACTACAGCCTGGGCAACAGAGGGAGACCCTATCTCAAAGAAGGAAGGAAGGAAGGAAGGAAGGAAGGAAGGAAGGAAGGAAGGAAGGAAGGAAGGAAGGAGATAAATGGGAAAAAACCTTTAGCCAGGCTAACTAAAAAAAGAGAGACCCAATAAATAAAATCAGAGATAAAATGGAGACATTACAACCAATATCACAGAAATTCAAAGCATAATTAGAGACTATTACAAACAATTATATGCCAATACATTGGAAAACCTAGAAGAAATGGATAAATTCCTAGATACATACAATCTACCAAGATTGAACCATAAAGAAATCCAAAACCTAAACAAAGCAAGAACAAGTAATGAGATCAAAGCTGCAATAAGAAAGACTCCCAGCAAAAGAAATTCTGGGATGCGATGGCTTCACTGCTGAACTTTACCATGCATTTAAGGAGAATTATTACTAATCCTTCTGAAACTCCTCTGAAAACTAGAGGGAGAGGGAATAGTTTCAAATGTATTCCTTGCGGCCAGGATTGCCCTCATACAAAAACCAGAAAAGGACATATGTAAAAAAGAAAAAACCATAGGCCAATATCACCGTTGAACATTGATGCAAAATCCTCAACGAAATACTACCAAACTGAATTCAACAACACATCAAAAAGATCATTCATCATAACCAAGAGGGACTTAATGCAAGGATGCAAGGATGGTTCAACATATGCAGATCAATCAATGTGACACACATCATATCAACAGAATAAAGAGAAAAAAACATAATCTTTTTAATTGATGCTGAAACGCATTTGATAAAATTCAACATTCCTTCATGACAAAAACTATCAAATGCCTGGGTATAGAAGGAACATACCTCAACACAATAAAAACCATATATGAGAGCTCCATAGCTAGTATCACATTGGATGGGAAAAAACTGAAAGCCTTTCCTCTAGGATCTGAAACATGACAAGGATGCCCACTTTCACCACTGTTATTGAATAACATGGCAATGGAAGTCCTAGCTAGAGTACTCAGATAAGGGTAAGAAATAAAGGACATCAAAATTAGAAAAAAGAAAGTCAAATTATCCTTGTTTGCAGATTACATAATCTTATACTTGGAGAAACCTAAAGAATACACCAAAAACTATTAGAACTGACAAATTCAGTAAAGTTGCAGGATACAAAATTAACATACAAAAATCAGTGGTATTTATATATGCCAACAACAAACAATCTGAAAAGGAAATCAAGACAGCAATCCCATTTACAATAGCTACAGATAAAATAAAATACTTAGGAATTAACTTAAAAATGTGAAAGATCTCCATAATGAAAACTATAAAACATTGATGAAAGAAATTGAAGAGGACATCAAAAAATGAAAAGATATTCCATGTTCAGGGATTGAAAGAATCAATATTGTTAAAATGTCCATAGCATCCGAAGTAATCTACAGATTCAATGCAATCCCTACCAAAGTAACAATGACGTTCTTCACAGAAATAGAAAAACAATCCTAAAATTTATATGGAACCACAAAAAACTCACAATAGCCAAAGCCATCCTGAGCAAAAAGAACATAACTGGAAGAAACACTAATGTGTTTCCTGACTTTGAATTATACTACAAAATTATAGTAGCCAAAACAGCATGGTACTAGCATAAAAACAGACACATAGACCAGTGGAACAAAATAGAGAACCCAGAAACAAATTCATACATCTACAGTGAACTCATTTTTTACAAAAGTGCCAAGAACATACATCAGAGAAAGGATAGTCTCTTCAATAAATGGTTCTGAGAAAACTGGATATCTATATGCAGAAGAATGAAACTAAACCCCTATCTCTCACCATATAAAAAAAATCAAAATTAGCTGGGCGCGGTGGCTCAAGCCTGTAATCCCAGCACTTTGGGAGGCGGAGAC